CACGGCTGGGGGGCGAGGCGCGTTTCAATTCGATGTTAAAAACGGGTTAACAACGGGGGGCTATTTGTCTTAGCGGATGCATGTCAATTTAAATCAATACATACAACTATTTTTTAAATCAATACATACAACTATTTTTATTATTTTTTTTTTTTATTTTTTTTTTTGTTTTGTTATTTAACACATCCTTTTATTTCAATCTGCACTTTATTTATTGATAAAGCAAAACCAGAGAGAAGTTTAAAATTGACACGGAAAAAACTTAAGACCTCAACATGGAGGGTAAAAAGTTGTGCGTATTTCCATAACATTAACATCAATGATGATAATGCGTTAGCTGTTTGAAAATGTCCTTCGGCACACTATAGGGGTAAAGGTGCGGTAACAGAAGGTCCTGCAGGGGACTGTCCGGATCACCAACGGCAGATTTTAGATTTTCCCTGCGAAACTTCCACCCTCTATCTGCTCGTCCCATTTGCCAACCCAGCTCGTGGGACAGAGGCTCTTGTAAACCCTCTGGTACCAATCACAGGGAGCCACATCCTGGTCCTTTGTCGAGAGGGCCTTAGTGCACCTGTGGAAGTCCAGGTAGTTCTGGTAGCAGTTGCGGGTCTGGTTGGTGTTTGGGAATCTGGCGTCAAAGGGAGCCGTCCTGTAGTTCTGGATCTTTGTCTCAACAGTATCAGCCATCTTTATGAGCTTCAATCTCACGTTTTAACGATACTGAAAAAAGAAACAGGGTGGATTAACTCACATCTGGTACAGGTTTAGTGAACACTGCTGTCAGTGTCATATCAACAAAATGTTATGTGGCTATGCTAAGCTAAATATAGCATTCTGATCAAAGTTAAATGTAGGTTATCTCTGTCTACGCTTTGATCGCTACTCATTGTTGGTTTCTTAATCAGAATGTAGGATAACAGTTCAACTCTGATAAGTTTATTGACACAAACACTTTTGCCACGGTCACATTTCTTTGAATACAACTTAGCATAGTTTGACACAGTGTTGTCAGTGAGCTAATGCTAGCTGTTAGGTCGTTGCTAACTCTTGACTCTGTAAGCCAACACATTTGAGAACGTCTGTTTGTTCCGTGAGTTCCGGTAGGTGAACTCAACAGAAAACCCTTTAAATATCAAAGGCAACGTTTGTAAACAGAAGACAAAGTTAGGAAGTTACCGGCTTCTAACCTTGGGAGGTTTCTCGATGTGTCCTCGGTGGGCTCCGGAAGAATACGCTCCTTCGTGTCGACGCGCAAAGGATGCTGGGATATCGACTGACCGGACATGAACCTAAATTCAACTTTAAGTTTGACAAACATGTGTTTATTAATTATCAATATTAAGCTATGAGGAACCTAATAATTATCTCTAGCCTGTCTTATTTTACAAACATTAGTTCATTTCACAAACCCAATTCAACAGAGACAATGTAGGCCAGTTATTATATTATGTTACTTACAAGTATTAACTTAAATATACATCAATAGCATTTCAATTGTGATATACCTGTATGCGCAACGATACAGTTGGTTTAGGGTTGTTGATTTACCTAGGGTTAGTTTAAAAAAAGTTAAACATTGATAATGTTAAAATTAAAAACATAATAAATTACATCCTAAAAAAAAACATAAATTACAGAAGTCTGGAGTAAAAGGTGTGAAGGCAATGGTGTTTCTCTCTTAGCCATGATTTAAAAAAGTGGTTGTGTACATTTTAAAGGTTAGTAGTTACATACGTTTGCTCTTTAATAGAGTAGACTGTTGATTGAATACACTTCTCCTGTTTGCCATGTCAAACAGATGCCTAGTTACAAAGTTAGCTTAGTCTATATACACCATTACATGCATTTTAATCTTTGGGCTTTGCTTGGTTATTACAGTGAATTAGTCCGGCAGTGGCTCAGTCAGTAGGGGTACTTGGAGAGGTCCCAGTTCACCCTCTGGGCCCTGCCGTGTTGCCCTTGAGCAAGGCACCGGACAACCCCCCACTCCCATTGCTCCCCGGGCGCTGTACAATAGCTGCCCACTGCTCCTAGCACTAGACTCCTGGTACTAGGATGGGTTAAATGCAGAGGCCAAATGTCACTGTGTGTGCTGTGTGCTCTGCATGTGTGACCATTAAAGAGGGTTTCATCCCTCCGATTCTAATTAAACTGTAATGATTTTAGCATTTATTTTACTTTCCCTTGATCAACAATTGCTTTATAATGGTTGGCAACATAACCATAGTAGACATATAGACTGTGTTTGCCTGTTCTGCATGAAACAAAGATTCACCAGGAGGCCAATATCAGTTTGACTTCTTGTAATGTGCTGTATCAATATGATGCTTCAACTGCACATATTGTCTGCTTCTTACTTGGACTAATGTTTTTTTTTCCCAAAGTGAAACTTTGATGCAGTGGATAAGTCTTTGAAATGGGTAATTGTTCTGATGATGTTTGCGATCTAGAAATGCAGATTTTTGAAGATCATACTTTGAACTGGGACACAGTGACGGTCTCTTTTTGCTTATTATCACCATCTTCCTGTCCAAGAAAAGGTCAAAGATTTCAGGTGTCTCTGTTGCTGTCTCGAGCTTCCTGTCTCACTCTGTGTGTTTCCTTCATCCTCTTTCCAGCAAAACTTGGGCCCTCTGTGTGTTTTGAGATGCATCCCAATATCTTTTCCAAACAAAGAAATCAACGCTGTACCAGGTTAAATGGCCACATTCTTAAGAATATGTTGTGCTTTGAGACCTTGTTTCGGCACATTTCTTTTAATATAATGAAACTTCATGAGGATGAAACAATGGCCACACTTTTATTTTTAATCCAGATCAAAATGTGTTTTTCTAAAATGCTTTCGGGTATTTAATAACGTATGTAAAATTCCTTAAAAGGTTGCAAAGGCCCAAATGTGTGTGTAAATTCACCCTTATCCTGCTCTCTACCAATCTCTCCCTCTCTCTCTCAGTCAGGATATAGGTGTTGTCCACTGCAAAGGAAGGAAATTCTGTCACTTAGAACAATGGGCCAGTTTCTCTATCTATAGAACCAGAGAGCCTGAGAGCTAGAGGGACAGAGGGAACCGATCGTGTCCAGTTAGAGAGAAAAGAAAAAGATATTTAGGTAAAGAGAACTGCATTAGCCTTATGTATATAAAGAATAGAAGATGTTTATGTTGATGTGTGCGAGGTTCAGGCCTTTTGAAAATGGAATTTTATCACGGGAAAAAGGAAACATGCAAGGATATTAGATTACACTGAGCTGCGTATTTGCATTTCGGTGGTGAAGAATCATCATAACACGCTAAAGAAGGATCAGAAGAAACAGTGGGTAAGTGTATTCTAAATGTATCCACTAAAAGCAATCGTATTTCTGTCTAGTAGTGTTTTGATTTCATGGTTTTCAAAATAATCCAACATCTAGGACAGTATGCATGTCTTTTCAGTCTAGAATCAAAAAGTATGACAACTAGTCTCTCAGTAATCAACCTTTAAAAGAGGTTATCAAATCTGAACCTACATTTTGATGGTCATTTATATTGAAGTAACACAAAGAATAGGACAGGCAGTGACCTTTGCAGTGGGTATTTCCAAGTTAGTGCGACAATTGGTCCCACCGAAGATGCTTCCTGTTTGGGAATGGGGAATTCACTCTGAATTTCAGGGGCTGATTGGGGTGTTTTGATGTTATTTATTTTTGTTTTTTTCACCATGTTGACAACCTGCTGTAGATATCCTGTTGATATTTTTTGGATGGTGACATCATGCCATTGTTATATTGTTTCAATCCAGGCATTGCTGACACACATTCCTCTACAATGTGGAGGCCGATTTAGTAGATTAGATTAATCGAGACATTTATAGTATCTAGACATACTGCAGATTATTGAGTTAAAAACTACAGATTTCTTATTTATGGGTCTTTCCCTCTGTCAGATGGAGGGGTCTGGCAGTCCTCGCTTCAGAAAGCTCCATTTCCCAGTGGGTCTGTGGATCAACTCGCCCAGGAAACACTTTGCCAAGCTTGGGGGTCGCTGGCCCAGCGCTATCTCTGTCAAGTCAGTCTGAATTTTAAACTTGTTTAGTTAGATTCAGTACCTGATTGTTGAATGAACAGCTTTTATCTTACTTCCACGTCATTAGTATCCCCTCAACCCTGTAACCCTTCCCTGTTTTATTTTAGTCCCTGTTGTTTGTCCCTGTTTAGTCAGTCATAATTCACAGCTGACTGGTCCCTTCCTTTCTCCTTCCTCTCTCCTGCATCTGTCTTCCCCTCCTCTGTTGTTCCCAGGTCGACCACCAGCTCTGACGCAGCCTCCCTCCACGAGGCCCCCTCTGCTCCTTCCTCTTCCCTTTCTAACTCCACCCTCTCGCTGGCTTCCCCTACCCCATCCCCATCTCCTTCCCCGGCCTTCCTCAGGCCGAGGCCTGCTGGGCCTCAGTCCCGCACAAAAAGGCTTTCCCACCTCTTCCTTCGAGGGCGCTCAAACAGCGACAGGGACCGGGCGGTGGGGGAGAGGGAGAGAGAGCTTTGGGCTCACTCAGCTGCTCCTTCCTCCCACCACTACTTGCCCCCTGCCTCTTCCTCTGCCCCGGGCCTGATCAAGATCTATGGGGATGCCCTTTCCAGTGGGGCCAACTATCGCTCCCTACTGGCCAACAGTAACTCTACAGCCAGGCAGCTCATCGCCCAGGTCATCACTCGGTACACGGAAAGGGAGAGGGAGGAGACAGATGACGCAGGTACGAGGGAGGGAAACTTTGACCGTCACTGCAGCCCCATTACTTGGAATTGTTTGCTCAAATATTTTTAACCAATTGGGAATGAGCTAATGTAAACACAAACAGCAGTGTTGTGGAAAAATTATTACCCCCTCTCCTCCTCCCTTCCTCCATTACCTTCTAGTTCTCCAGAAATACAGCCCAGAGGACTTCCTGTTGTGTGATGTCATTGGAAAGCCCATCCAGCAGCCAGATGGAGCTATCAAATGGGAGACAGAGAGCCGGAGAAGCGTTGCCCCGTGGGAATGTCCCTTGTTGTTAGTGGACATGTGGCGGCCTAAGGACGGGTTCGAGCGGCGCTTTGAAATCCAGAGAAAGGAAGACTATGAGAGAGAAGAAAGAGAGAGGGAGAAGGAGCGTGAGAGGGAGGGAGAGACATATCAAGGTATGTGTAAGACTCAACAGGCTGCAGGTCTCTTTGACCCGGGGTCAGACTGAACCATGCTCTGGTTGTCTGGGCAACAGGTGTGCGCTGGCGGGGCAGGAAGTCATCAGGAGGCGGACCTGAGGAGAGCGAGCGAGGTCACCGTGCTAGAAACTCTGAGCTCAGGAGGAGCATCAGTGACATGAACCTGAGTCTGAGGCGTCGCCAAGGCAACCATGTCGGCAATGACCCACGTGGAAACCGTCCTAACAACAACGGAGGAGTTCAGGATAGGAAAAACATTGTGAGCATGATCCACCCACTGCAAGGAGAGGTGAGGGTGATAATGTTTTGGAGAACAAACAAACTATGATGTTCCATCCATCTTGTCTTAACACACTTTCTATTATTTCCCCCTCAGATTAGAGCTTCAAAAGCTGAAGCGAAGGTTGGATGGACGAACCAGTCTGCGGAGGACGAGAAGGATTACTCCAGCTGTGACCTGGAAGTGATGTCACAAAGTTTGATCCTTCCACCCACAGACCGGCCCTATTTTCTGTTGCTGCAGGGTTACGATCAGAGCAAGGCGAGACACGCTGACAGATGATATCACCCACACAAACAACACCCACACACACACACACACACACACACACACACACACACACACACACACACACACACACACACACACACACAGACACACGTACAAAATATAAACACAGGCACACACAGATGGACATTTCCATAGTATACTCTAAAGTAACGTAAAAACACATCGATGTGCATGTATGCAGACCGGCAGGGGATTTGTGCAGATGTACACGCGTGCACACACCCTGTACATGACATCATACCTGCATGTCTGTAATCGCCACATACCATCAGGGTTTCCATCCCTCGACAAGCCTCTCCCATTCAGCATCCTGCACAAAACATCATCAGAGCAACACAATGCCCCAACAATTTATCCAAGAAAAGCATAAAACCCCTCTGTGTAGCTCACACAAGTCTCCATTGTAGAAAACTGTGACACACTTCATACCTTATCAACCGTCTTCTGTTCAACTTAACATCTCTGAGATGGAAGATTGATATAAACTATGGCACTTAAAGATAAAAGACCTCCCTGACTTTCTTCTGCCCTCCA